GCCCCCCCCCCCCCCCCAATCTCAACCGGTTCAGCCTCAACTGACCCAGTCTCTCCAGGGTACATCCAGCCTGGCTCAAATGGCTCAAAATTTAGACATACCTGCTCATAAACGAGCTCAACAGGTCCAGGAGATAAACAAGTCACAGCATACTCTTGGGTGTTGATAAAATTATCTTCATACAACTACATACATGTACAATTCAAAATAACACAAATGTCATTGTCAGATCATAAAAAATAGAGGGGTAGAGAGCATTCTAATTCCCAAAATAAAAAATAAATAAACAAACTTACACCATACACAACATTCTAGATAAGCTCCTCACTGTCCTCTTGAGTGTATCTTGCTTAGCTTTCTAAATTCTAAGCAACCAAAATCAATGCTTGAAAGAAAGTATATATAATTGCAAATTAAATGTTAGTCTATTAACCTTTTTCGTTTGTAAGTCTTCATTCATGTATTTGGCTTTCCAATTTCCTCCCCCATCATCTTTGTCATCCACAACCTCGTTTAACACTCTCACCAAAACTTCATCCTCAACAGCTTCTTCTTTTTCTTCTTCTTCGTTTTTATCTCCTTTTTCTTCTACTACTTCTTTTTCTTCTCTTTCTTTTTCCTCCTTTTCTTCTTCATCTTCATCTTCACAGTAAACTGGCTTCTTCATCTTCCCTCAAAAATCCTCTCCCATCCCCTTCATTTTCCTTCCTCGAACCGTCAACACATCCTTCACGTCAGTGCACATACCATCCAATTTCAACAAATCAAGTGCATTATCCTAAAAGAATTTATGGATAAAGTTATTATAGAGTCAAATAAACATCAATCGTATAGTAAAGATGCATTTATCAACTTCTCAAGAATTGTACCAGCTTATTTGCAACTTTTTCAAGACCATCAGGGAAGAACAAATGCTTTAGAAACTGGTATTGTAGGCACTTGTCAGCTCTCCAACGTAGAAGTGGACAATTTATGTTTCGATTACACTTAGCAATTTCATCTTCAAGGACTGGAAATCTCTTATATGCCTGAATCTAAGGAAAAAAGGCATACAAATCAATAGTTATTATTATACAACATAGAAAGCTAGTGTTAGCAATATATTTGAAATAATCTTACTTGCAAGACCGGCGGAAACCCATATAAAGCATGTTTCTAAGACTTCACTTTTGGGTTGTTCTTTTCTTTGAACTTTTATGGTTGGGTGTCCATCATTCCCTTCAAATGTCGCAGTGTCAACATGTATGACTCTCAAGCCCATGGATGCATCGAACATTTTAGGGTCATCAACTACTTCCAGGTGCGAGAGGTCAATACAAGTCCCATAAAATACGATGATGAAAGATTCACTTATTCCCCACCAGGTATATCATCATCCGCTGTCATAAATTGGTCACAGAAATATGAGAAAGTACATTTCACTGTGCTCCCTCCACCAAGATACTTATTGTGGATACTCTCTGAAGTATCATTCACATTGCCTAAATCTAGATTTTCCTTTGTACTTGGTATACTAGTCATTCTACAAAAGTCTTCAAAATTCAATTTTTTTAATACTGCCATTGATCATAAAACAAAGCTCATCTTTGGGTTGTCGTCGAAGGAGGTGTAGTGCAAGTATCTTGATGACTTGTCCTGAAAATTACAACTATCGCATATCCAGAAAATGACCAAATGGCATTTCTCGGAATTGCTTCAAATTGTCTACACTCAATTTCTTTTTTATAATAGCCATTGCATCATTCAATTCTCTGTAAACCGAATGCTGGGCAGGGAAATACTCTTTTGTAGGAATCAAAAGCGACATTTTAATATTATCTACAAAAAACAATGCACTCGTGATTACCATAATCATCTAAAGAGTGAACAAACAATACTGAAAAGAACAACATATTTTTTAGAATACTAACATATGATGGAATTAATATGCATGCCACATCAATCAATAACACATTTGCATGAACTATTTAAGTAAAAAATAGACATATATGGCATGTAGCTAGTACTTGACATATTAAACATAGATTTTACGCTTATAAGTAGCACCTCACATACTTTTACAACAATATTTGATACAAGGCAGCAATTATCTAGTGAAATAGACATTTCACGCTTGTATCTACCACCTCACATACATTTAGGCCATTTTTTTAACAGAGCCGAAGTTCACATGCAAAAAGAGATTTTACACCTGTAACTAGCACTTGACATACATTTAGTGTAATTCCAAGAATTTAAGATGAAAAAAACAAAAATTATATTAGGAAATTAAGGTTCATAATCAAACAAAAAGAATTAAGAATTGATATATTATGGTTTGGTAGTGACAATACCCTGAGTTATATACTTAAGTCTCTATTTATACCTGGTGAAGTGCTGATCAGAAATTTGTGCGGCGATGGTCAGGCCAAGGAGCAAAGCTATTATCAGAAATTTGGGTGTCGAAGGTCAGTACATGGTGCACAGCAGAGATCGGAGTTTGGAATGTGTGAAGGTCTGATCGGCGAAGGTCAAGGCGGCGCACCGGCAAAGCTCTGATCGATTATTATTAGAATGGAAAGAGACGAGATGGGATAAGGGGGAGAAACGAAAGAAAGAGAGAGAAAGAGATAGGAGTTTGGGGGTGGAGGGGTATAAGGATGGATGGGGGTTGATCCTTTATATGGTGTACATAACCAGACTTTCCCCCAAAAAAAGACCTCTAGGCACCCACCCTTTTCCTAGTCGTTGCATGCAACAACTATATAACCATTTGCATGGCAACAACCACCATTTCACCACCCCCAAACGGTCACTTTTCAAAAGTATTTTTTAAAATACCGGAACTACTTCCGAATCGACGGATCTAGTACGTACTTTTAGGTAACCGAAACTAATCTTTCTCCTGCTAGTCTTAGCCTGTTTCCCAAACCCATCACCCTACGGCACGGTACCGTCAGTAACAGGCGAACCTAGAACATTTGAATCATGTGGTCGCATTTTAAATAGTTCATATCAAACTGTCACATTTATAGAATTAACTAAAAAAAATACTTCGTATTATATATCATTAAAGTTTACATATGTCATAAAAATAATATATTAATAATAGTCTTTTATTGTAAATATAAAATACATCTTATAATTGATAATGTCTAGTTCTAATATTTTGAAAGTAATTTCTTATTTGATCATCATTAATAATAGTGAATACATCTCTATATATATGTCACTAGGCAATTATTTTACCAATGATCACAAAGTTTGTTTCGAACCTCATTTTTTACAGGTCAAAAAAAGAAGCATGAATCAATCTCTAATGATTCAAAATCTAAATTCTCTCCCCTTTTGTCAATATGTGATTCCAGAAGGTGGTTTAGAGACGACGAAAAATTTGTATCCAAATTTTATGGATTCTCGCTCAATTTAGAACTCCTGGGCGCCGCCACTTAAATTTAGAACAAAAACAAAAAATACAAGATAGGATGCTGAAAAAAAAGCTCCTGGGCGCTGGCCAAATTCGAAAACAAGACCTCTAGCATACATTATGGCTGTCCATCAATTCGGGCCACTCGTCCATATATACTTTAGGAAGGTGTTTTATAAATACTCCATGTATATAGTAATCTTTAATATATACCTATATGCATATATATAAAATTACGAAATTTTCATGGGGCTGCGTGACCCGGTATGATTCAACTTGGGTCCGCCCTTTCCGCCAGTGCCATATCCGCACCGAGATAGAGCATGTGCCATGTCTTACCCAATTTGATGACCATTTAAAATTTTATGTACAAAAGCATTTTTAAGTTTTTTAAATGAAACTCAACATATTCAAAGTTGTAGCCTGGGGAGCAAGCGAGGTTCTCTAAACATTGTGTATGTGTGATCTATAACCTAAGAGTTATAGCACAAAACAGACATATATACAATTATAACAAGATGAATGGGCATTTACAACACTCGGTTAGCAAAACATCTCGGGAAAAAAATCAAAGAATTAGGCGCCGATACGAGGACTGATTGCTGATTTCTGATTTCTGCTAATGAACTGCCATGATAACTCTAAGAACAAGATTACATTGATTCATTGCTGTTTTCTCCTAATCAGCTGCCATGACCATACTGACAAAAACATCACAAGGCCAACCACAATTGATGTCCAGAGAATAACTATCCATATTGGCATGGGTGCAGGAAACAGCCCTGAATGGTTCAATAACAAGAGGCACGTTAGAGGTATAAAAAGAACATGTTAAGTACTCTACATCGGAAGGGTTCCCATGACATTGGAACCCCATGTCATACTATGACATGGATGTAGTTGGGGTCACTATAAAACTCTGTTCGTAAAATTGATGGTTCCTACCCCTAACCCCACCCTCCCCCCCTCGGTAAACCCCCTACCCCGTCCTAACCCAAACCACACCCCAACCGCATTCAATTGTACCCTCAAGTTTATTTGACTTTAGGGGTGCAATTGAAGGGGATGGGAGTGTAGTTCGGGTCGGGGCAGAGTAGGAGGGGTTTACTGGAGGGGTTAGGAAGGTAGGAACCGTCAATTTTACGAACAGGACACCGTAGGATCCCCGGGTCATCTCATGACATTGCTAAGCAATGTCAAGGGAACCACCCCCACTCCACATATCACACAAGAAATAGGATAGAGCACTCACCGTGCCCAAATTTGATGCATATTAGAAGCTCGACTATGCAGATGGCAAGTGATAGCCAACAAAACGGTCCAACCATTTTTACCGATTTTCTGAAAATTTACAGTGGCAAAGAGAAACAAGGGGGTGAGTGAGCCAACACAAACATCTGCTTATGGAGGTGGTTCCATTTGTGGTAAAGAAAATACCTGTTGTTTAGGTAACAATTGTACTCACGGATGGTCGGTATTGCAATCAGCCACCATAAAACTAATCTATATACTATGAAAGGGTTTCTTGGAGGAATCCAAAGACAAAACTTGAGGAAGAATGTGTTCAGTTCTACTGTCAAGAAAACAATACAGAGAGTGAGAACTTGAACAAAACGCAAAGGGCCGAGAAGTGGATGCCATTCGTCCCTATCCCAATGTGCTGGAGTGAATTGACCGAGTGTTAGCTTGACCTAAAACATAAAAAAAATCCAACATTTAATCAAAAGAAAATGATCCATAGATTTCTTGGGCAACATAAAAACATGCAACCGTGTGTTTGATGATTTTGTTCTAGCTCATAAAACATGCAACATTTAATCTTGAGCTATTAGTAAAACAGTTTAACAAGAAATAATTGTGAACCATAAATTTCCAGCAAAAAAGCAAAAGATGTACCAAGAGTACATTATTAAGAGCAAATAAAATCATCAAGATGTAGAAGTAACATACAGTGGAAGAAATGTATACTTTGCCAATAATCGTTGGTTGTCGGCTGATACCAACCCAATCATATGTTCTACCATCAAAATAAGAAACAGTGCGCATTCCAGCCCAAATACCTATAGAGCACAAAAAAATGAAACCTTTTAGATGCATCGATTCATCATTGCTAACTCTGCTTAGGAATGCACAACTAAACATGAGACGCATTCTAATACATACGTCAATATTAGTAGTGATGGGGGCATAGAGGTTTCAGACTATGTTTATCTTGAATTTAAACAACTCCACACCATAGATTGCCACCAGGACCACTCTTTTACTTACATTTATAACAAACATTTATCCATTAAAAAAGAGGTATATTATGAGGCAATCTGCCATGTGATAAAAATTCTAAAGCAGTAAAGAGAAATTGGTGTTTACATATATTCCTATCATAAGATATTCTGGTATTAGCCCCCACATACATATATCCCAGAAGGTAATATGGAAAGACTTCAAGATTCGTACCAAACCAATTGCAGACTAAAATGTCAAGAACAATGCTGTCCCACCAGCACTCATTGAAATTCGGTAACATATGGCGGAAGGTAAGCTGAAAGCAGAAGAATAAGAATACAAATTTAGAATTTAGTGTAATCTCCCAACAACGCCCAAGAGAGTGGTTTTCAAAAACATGGCTCAAACAAAAGGAAGGTTAGAAAAGACTAGCACCTCCATTGACTCAAACCCAATTGATAATACCCAAAGAAGTGGTTGATTACGAATCATGATGGCTTTCCCCCACCACCCGAGAATATGGGCTAGAACAAACTCATCAAACACAGTATCCTGCCACATAATAAAATGAATCAGAGATACCTCAAGGCTTAAAAGATTTGTTTTGTGGGCGAACCAAAAGATGGGGGAAAACTAAAGGCAAAAAAGAATCGCAAAAAGAAACTACAAGGTCGTGGAAGAAGAAACCATACATAAACATTCTTAAACCTGTTCGTAGGATTTTCAGGAACATAGATTCGGCAATCAGCACCATAGGATCTCTCAGGAAGTTCTGCAGGAAGTAATAATCGAACTTAAGTAACACTAGAAAGTAGAAACCACTATTCTAGAAAATGTAAAGCCAGCAATATGAATAGTCATTGGCAAATGAGCTGCTCCATGTATAAATTTTGAAGGACAATTCTAAATTTGTTACCAACACCAAGATCAGGATGCAGATATTTCATGATTTGGCGAGCATCATCACGATTCTGAAAAATAAAAAGAAAAATCAGATTGACAAAAAGAATGTACAAGAAAAGTTGATTCATAAAAATACTCCTTCCGTTCCAAAAGACCAAAACACTTTACCCATTTTGACTTTCATGGAGTTTAAGAAAAGTGTTGAAAAGAAAAAAGTGTATGGTTAGAATTTGTTTAAAATGAGAGAAAGAACTTCTAAGCTACATATTCATTACTAAAAACGAAATAAATGAGAAAATTTTTTTGGCACGTCCGAAAAAAGAAAGTGGGTAAAGTTTTTTTTGGGACGGGAGATATAATAGAATAAAGCTAACAACTGCAAAGTAGGGAAAAGAGTTACAAATGGTAGGCAGGGGCTAGGCCCTCTAGGCCTGCCATAGATGGGCTTTGGGCCACGAGCTCAACAGCGGACTTCAGTTTACTCAAGCATAAGATTGGATGGCAACACGTTGAAGGCCCATTTCAGCATGGGTGGCCATCGTTGGCCAAAGCAACCTACGGTCCATATAACTCTTTGTACTTCAAGATTACCATTTTTATGTAATTACTGTAGAATAGTCGTGTGGAGTGTGGACATTGGACTTAGATCACACATTAGCTAGGTCCATGGGTGGACAACATTCTTCGCTTGCACTCTTTTTCATTGACTAAGGTTTTTTTCCATTAGCATTTTTCTTATGATGGTTTGCATGGGTCTGTCCACCTGGTCTACTATATATGAGCTTTGGCACACAACCCAGGCAATGGGATTTGGTGTATTTGAGCATAAATTTGAATGGAAACGCATTGAGTGAAGGCCCTGTCTACCATGGGTGGTCATG